GAGAATGCAGACCCAATTCATAAGGTGAATGTAGAAATATGTGATAAACAGTAATGAATAAAGACTGCAATTCATGATTGATACTAACAATTCACCTCTACAGGATGTTGAGAAGAAAGAAAGATCATAAACATTACTATGTGGTTTACACGAATATGTCATGGTCGTGTACATATGGTAAGCCAAAAATATTTCAATGCATTATAAATGCTTCATTAAAGAGCAAATTAAAGCAAGAAAAGATTTTGCTTATGATGATTTTGACCAATGGCAATGTTATGATAAGATAATTTTCTCTGTGGAGGAAAATTCAACGCACTTGGATGGTGTTATAAAGAGATCTTGTAGTGCAAATATTGAGAGCTCCGAAATGAGCGAATTTTTTGTTACTACCCGAATAAAATAAATTATTCATGGCAATTTGGTGGGTAGTAATCTCAAAAAGGAACTTTTGAGTTTCAAAATATATTATCCAAAGTGGTTGGCATATTGGAACTATAAAATGAAAAGGAAGATTGATTATGCTTCATATTACTATAAATACCGTGGTATATGGAAGGTTAACCGACTTTTCTTCTATTTGTACTACAACGAGTATAAGCATGATGACAGAATCACATGCTACAAAGTAAACTAGAGGTTTACAGAAAATAAATATTAAGTGGCATGACCGGTTGGCCATACCGGTTCAATTAATGATGCGAAAAAATTGATTGAGAATTCACATTGGCATATATTGAAAGAAATAGAAGATTTTTCAAGAATATCTCTTTGTTTCTGCTTATTCTCATGATATACGAGCTAAGGTTTGGGATTGAATTCTCTGATTTTTGGATACGAATAAAAGGTTTGAATATATTTATGGGCCGTCACGATGCCATGTGGATATTACTATTAATATGATTTTAATAGATGCATCTATTGTATGGTCACATGTGCCGTTTGTTATCACTTGCACTTTGGTTTTTGCAAGGTTGTTTTGCTCAAAATTATAGAGCACAGTTCAGAATATATATTATGATAATTTATCTTCTAGTGCTGTTTAAATCCAAGTTGGTTTAGCAAGAAAATTTTATGCCTCCATTATAGCTAAACCATTGGTTTTATGAGAACAACTCACAATAGAAATTTGGTATGAGGTGTATTAATTTAATATACAAAGCACTTGTACGCATCTAGCCAACAAGTTATGATACCATTATCCCCGCATTAGCAATTGGTTCAGGGTCACGGAACCAAAATATTTTCATTAGAAATATGGAATGTACTATATGATTTAAATTGTGCACCACAAATGCACAAAGATTAATGCTTATCACAAGTCACATTCTCTTCAAGGAATGGACCATAATCAGCGACGTGCTTTATTATTTTTCCACATCAATTTGATGGTAAACATTGCCTTCACATTTTGAAAGACTATTTTGAGAACCCTTATTGTTCTCATTTTACAATTACCATAATGATGACTATTATTATTTGATCTTTGGCATGCCCACGTTTATTGGTCAACCACTTGTCTTCATTTAGACTTACTATGCACCGTTATCACATTCACTTCAAGAATGGAGCAAATCAAGTGGGACAAACTTCATGCTTTTTCATGAAAAATACAATATTTTTCTTTAGTCATCATTATATCATCAATATTGTGCATTGGGACTCAAACCCAATGCCTTACCCATATAAAGGCATGTTAGGCCATAATGAGTTAGGACTCAAATCTAACTCTTATCATCATAGAGCACCAGGACTCAAACCCGATGTCTTACCCTTATACAATGTCATAATAAGTCTAAGTGGACTCACCCTTGAGCCTTTCATGATATACTACTTTATAATAATTAGTTATTTTTGCCCGAACTTTAATGAAAGTTCACATTGATCTTTTTCACGAACAACCACATGATCAAACATAAAGGGAATAAAACTATCTTAGTTATACAAAATTTATTTTGACCACAACATAAATTTAAATTCATATTTTTTAAGATAAATTAGAAACCTCCTCAATAGTTAACAGTTCCATAATCTTGGCTTGCAAACTGTCGGAGCAGTACATATGGGAGATGATGTCAAGGCATCGTAATACGCTCTTGTTTCTCACTCTAAAGCAGGTACTCCATATGTATACATCTGCACAAATGAAACTAAATTGTTAAGTAACACAAATTAAACCAAGTCTTAGATATTAATGTAAGTTAATTGCAGAATTCATGGCAACTGAAAAATGATACTCCTTGTATAACAGAAGCAAACACAACATTAATATGGTAACGAAATGCCCAGATTTTCACAAGCTCAACCAAATTGATTTAAGGTTGTAGCTCCCATGAAAGGCTTTCATCTCTTATAGAAAATATAAGAAGAATTAATATTAGCAATTCGTGCTAATAACGTGTTACGAAACTTAGCTCAAAATAATAATATAAAACAAGAAAATAGACAAGAATGTAGGGAGCAAGAGAGAAGAGATTCTTTTTTTTTCCATGTATTCAAGTGTTTCAAGTATATACAATGTGATGCCAAAATCCTCTATTTATAGGATTACATAGAGGTATACAAAAGAATACCATAAACAAGACACTAAACATTTGAGATCATGGAGTAAGATCATGGGGAGGTTATGGAGGTATGAGAGTTACAACTATAACTCCATATAAATATTGGAGTAGTGGGAGTTATGGAGATAATGGAGAAGAGTAGTGGGTATTACTTCTTTTAGGAGTTATGGACATCCACCATTAGATAATTATTTATAACATGTTACAAGTTTTTGACTTCTTTTTTTTGCACTTCCCTATTCTTGTTTTACATATGTTAATATAGTATTTATTTTTCAGGTAAAGAAGGGTCTGTGGATTAAATTTCCTATTGAGCTTGCAAATCTTATTGAAATTGCAGTAAAGGTTATAATTCCTGGAAGCTCTCTAACATTAAACTTTTCATTTCTCTTAATGACAAGATCTAATAGTCATAAAAATATATCATAGTATAAATTTTTTAAATATACTATTAGTATTTGGCGAAAAGTCTTTTTTATTTTTTAAATTCCATATCTAATAATCGAACACCGCCATAAAAAAATGAAACGGAAGAATTTATGCGAAACTACTTGACAACTTTGAATTTCATACACTTTAGAAACTAGTACTAGAAGTAATTACTACGGTAATTGCCTCGGATATCATTTGTTGAGTTGAGAAAAATGAACCATATTAGCTATGGCATGAGACTGAAATATATAGGTGTGTGACATTGAGAACAGGAAGGGTTTTGGTACCATCATGCAGAACCTCATTACCTCATGCTTGTGCATTGGATTGCTGATACTGAGAGTACCATCCCTGCAAATGCCTCACACAGAGTCAGCATTGGTGCTATTGTCTTGAATCACAAAAGAGAGGTAATTCAAAACTGCTGCATGAATTTAACATTATATTCCTTGATTGCATGATTCAGTTGCTTTAAAGTAGTACTCCAGTATATAACATTATTGTCTCATGGTAGGCGGATCCAGATCTTTTTATATATGATCGATGGGTTCCAACATTTAAGTTCTTACGATTGAATCGGTTGTTCCTTTGAAATGATTGTTCAGAATTTGATATTTATAAAATTAAATCATATTATATATTTTTGCTCCGTGTCAAAATTATTGGGTTCAATTGAGTCAGTAATATAAGGCTACATCTGTTTCTGGTCTCAGCATAAATAAACAAATTCTCTAGATAATCGAATATTTGTTAGGGTAAGGATAACATTGTGGTCTTAAACGTAGTATATATACTATAAGAGAATGTCATTAAGCATAAAAGGAAAAGTTAAAGTTAAAGAGTTTTGGCTATTAAAATATGTGTCTATAGCTAGCTATGGACAGCTATATATATATGCTTGAGAGCATCTTGATGGTAACTATTTAGATTGTCACCATCTTCCAATTATCTAAAATTTGCAAAATATTGATGCTTTCAGTTGCTTGTTGTACAAGAAAATATCGGTTTAAAGGGAAGTGGTGTATGGAAAATCCCTACTGGTGCTGTTGACGAGGTATGCTCATTAATTAACCCATCTGCTAAAGGAACACATGTTACATATACCTTTACTTTACACCGTATCTATGTTGAGCCACGTTTTCCTCTACAGGGTGAGAATATATTTGAAGGTGCAATAAGGGAGGTAAAAGAAGAAACTGGAGTAAGTTTACAGAATACTCAATTCTACGTAAATTCATATACTAACATAAATTTTCTGTTGTTACGTCGCTGCTATTAATTTTTTCTCTGGCATGCATTTACCTTGTTTTTTTATTGCAGATTGATACAGAATTTCTGGAAGTGCTTGCGTTTAGGTAGGAACCTTTTGCCATTTTCTTTTATATTGTTTGAGCAATAATTATATAGTAGTAGTTGGTTACGCACCAGAGAGAGTACTTTTTCGAGAAGGAGAAAATGTATCGTGGCCAAGACCTAACTTTTCATGTTTTAGAAAGAAAAAAAAGTTAAAAAGAATATTACAGACTCATGATAATCAACTATTGAAGTTTTATTCTCAAAAGGTCAAAATAATCAACACTTAATTGGTCGGGGTTCTTGCTTATTGTACTTAGAGGCGGAGCCAAGATTTAAAGCTTATGTGTTTGGTATTCTAGTTCTTTTAAGTTATTGGATTCTAAATTAATAAGTTGTATATATTCAATGAATTTTTTAGGATAAATACAGGGTTTGAACCAAAGTTACCGGGTTCGTCCGAACTCGTAAGGCATGCTCTAGCTCCACCCCTGATTGTACTTCTACTGTTCTCATTTACTACTCCATCCGTCCCAAAAAGTATGATAAATTTTACATTTCGACGATCAAACTAGTTTGTCTCTGACTACGACTTTTTCACATACTTTATAAATATTCTTAATATGTTAATTATTGTGACTTATAGTATATATAAATTTTATTTTAAAGAAACTTAAAGATTTTATGTCCGAATTCATGATCAAATTTAAAAAGTTTGACTCTCGAAATTCGAAAAGTATCATCCTTTTTGGGACTCGGGGAGTAATAGATAGGATAGGCGTTTACACACCCTTTAAGCAAAATATTATAATGTAAGGAGTACTTTGACTAATTTATTCATATTAATATGCCAATAATTTTTTGAAATTATCTATATATTATATTAAAAGCACGAAGGCACTTAGCGAAATGTCGTTCGCTTTTTTTACCCTTTTAAAATAGAGTTTATATTGGATAAAGCAGTCATTTAATTATATTCCTAATATTTAGCACTTTAAATCAACTAAAATTTTATTTAATATATTTTTCCTTATTTGAACTATGTAAAAAGTACTAACATTTAAAGCTTTAAAATCAATTAATTAAGATTTTACCTATTATACTAACAATAAAATCTTAAAAGATCACGTTGAAAAGGAAAACTATTTTGTAATTTGATCACCATTAAACTTGTATTTAAGTTATACGTTTTAATGATTAAAACATTGGTTTTTACTCAAGTCTGGTAGGTTTGGTTAGTTGTCGTTTCTTTTCTACTTTGTTTTGCCTTTTGTTTTGGTTGTGATTCAAGCCTTATTCGTAGTGATTTTTTTATTTTGCTTGCTTTCTTTATTTGTTTTGTTAGTAATTTAAGTCTCATAATCCCATGTAACCATAATATGATTGATGAAAAACCCAAATCTTTTAATTTTGAATTACATAATTGAGTAAGTTTTTGATTTATTTTTTTGTTGGTTACATTGTATTGAAATATTTTCTTTATTAAGTCTTTCAAGTTCTGTGTTTGATAGAAATTATCAATTATAATTCACAAGTTCTTAGTTGGAGGGTTTTTTTTGGTCACATGTTGGAGGGTTTCTAGGTACTCCTTTGTGCCATGAATGTGAAATCCGGCAAGGTTTGATTTAATCTGAAAGAGTTTTACAGGTAAACTGAGGTATTCAATTTCATCTAATGAACAAAGATATTCTTAATTAGCTTCCAGTAAGGTCAAGTGTTCTTTATGATTCAATCACATAGTGCTCTCTTTTTTTTTTTGCTAATTATATGAACTTAGTTTGTTCCACGATATTTGGGGAAAGAGTCTGAGCCGGCTCGAGGCTCGAACACCAAATTAGGGTAGAAAAACTCTAATTTTTGTTATTTCACTCTAAATATGAATACATAAAAAAAAACACATTTACATAACTACACAATTCTAAAAATAACACACTCTTTGGCCGTTGAAGATTTTATAGAAGGCTATAACAGAAATTGCAAAGAGGAAAAAAAAAGAAAAACAAAAAGAAAGAAAAGATTTTTTTGTGGGGGGAGGGGAGGGGGGAGGGGGTCATAACTATACAAGCTTAAAAAAACATTAAAAATTCAACATTAGGTAAAGTTTCTAATGTTTTGTATTATTTTAGGTTTAGAAGTCCTTTTGTTAGTAAATTTGTATTAATTGTTTGGCTTCTTATAATTAGTTAATGAAGTTCATCGCATACTGTATGGTTACAATTGGTATAGGTAACTTTGAATTAATAAAATATTTTATTATTTTCTTATATGCTGTCAAAAGAAAAATATTAAACCTCCTTCTAAGATTTTTAAAAATTTGTTCCAATCAATGACACTTCCGAAATGAAAGAGCTAGAGTATTAGGACAAAGGAGTATGTTAATAGAAATTAAAACTACTCTAGATTTTAAGGTACATAATATTGTTATTTTATAAATTAGTTGTAATTTAACTAATTAGCGATTGAACGATCTTCCGGATAGTGTTGTGCGACATCCCTTGATGAACCTTCAACTATATCTAATACAAATGTGACATTTATGTTAGTATCAGGTGCTATTTATCAATAATTTGTTCTTCTTGTATTTAATTTTTATTAATTGGCGCGAAGAACACGTGCAACGCACGTACACTAAAACTAGTATAACTTAATAATCAGTAAGCAATTTCTTTGTATTTTCTAGAACAACTTATGCTACGAATTCTTCACGGTTCAAAACCTAGAAATGTTGCCAATGTATATAATACATTGATTTGTTCAGTAATGTAATTTTCTCATGGGCAGGCAAATACACAAGTCATTCTTTGACAAGTCAGAGCTGTTCTTCATTTGCATGATGCGCCCTTTATCTTTTGACATCCAAAAGCAAGACTGAGAAATTGAGGCAGCCCAGGTATGTCTATTTTATTTCTGAGTTTGAGCTCAATATACTGAAAGTGTAAAAATATTTACAAAATTAGGACATAACAATTAAAATTTTAATGATATTCATTATTTGGTAACATTATAAAAATAGTAAATAACCTGTTATTACAAAACAAACTATATTTGCCCACATCGGGTGTTTACACCAAACTATGTTAACCCACTATGGTTAATTAATTTAATTAGATGACAATGCATGTAATTTACCATGATTAAATGATTGAAGTCCATATGCAAGACACATGTCATATATCTATTGGTTTGGTGTAAACACCCGGTACAGGTAAGTTTTGTTATTTTACATTAATAGTATATATAACTTAAAGTTTTATATATATATATATATTATAGGACTTGAGAATACTATAATATATATATATATATATATATATATATATATATATATATTCTCAAGTCCTATAATAATCCTTGCAGTTGTCACGACCCGGATTTCCCACCCTCGGGAGTCGTGATGGCGCCTACTATTAGGAGCTAGGCAAGCCAATTATTTATTACCTCTTTTAACAAACCTCGACATTATTGAAACAACGAAACATTTAATAGAAAAGCGGAAGTCTTAAATATAAGTAAACTGAAAGCAATGCGGAAGTTCAATACAACTCTACCCAAGAACTGGAGTCACAAACTCACGAATGTCTAGAGAATGCTAAATACAATGTCTGAATAAAAACATAATTTTGTTTGTTCCGGTACAAAGGATAACAAACTAAAGTAAAGATAGAAGAAACTCCGGGCCTGCGGACGTCAGCAAGGCTACCTTGGTGTCTCTGGACTGAAGTCAGCTCCCAAATCTACTATTGCTGTCCAAAAGTTGCTCCGGCACCGTGATCTGTGCAAAAAGATGCACAGAGTGTAGCATCAGCACAACCGACCCCATGTGCTGGTAAGTGCCTGGCCTAACCCCGGCGAAGTAGTGACGAGGCTAGACCGGACTACCAAACAAACCTGTGCAGTTCAATATATATGTATGCAATATAAAGGTATACAGAAATTAACCAGTCAAGGGGGAGGGGAGCATGCTGTAGGGGCTGTAACAGTTCAGGTATAAAATTAATATAAGGAATGAAACATTACAATTACAATAGCAACGAGAGTAGGAAATCAACAGTTGCACGACACCATCCTTCGTGCTTTTACTCTCATTCTCACCCAAACAATCATATAAAGTGCAAGGCATCACCCTTCGTGCTTTACCTCACAAAATGATGGCACGGAATGATCCTTCGTGCATAAACACTCATATCATGGCACGGAATGTTCCTTCGTGCATTAGTAATCATATCATGGCACGGAATGTTCCTTCGTGCATTAGTATTCATATCACAATCGTGCACGGCATCACCCTTCGTGCTTTATCACTCGTCCTCACCCAAACAACAATCACAAACAATGGGGCGAGGGAATAGACAAACAAAATAGGAATCCCGGCAAGGGAACAATAACAACAATTTAAATATCCCGGCAAGGGAGAAAAGTCTACCAAACAGCAAAACATCCCGGCAAGGGAATAACCAATAACTCACTAGCTTTCTTTCATTTCTTACTTCACATCTCACTATATCACTTGAGCCAATGCTCCCAAGAATCTTATAATCTCAGATACCTTTTTAATTCGTATTACAACCAAGCCAATACACCACGAAAATCAAATGATCATAATATTTTTCACATGTTCTTTACAATATATAGAAGTCCTCAATTAACATGGAATCCACAAAAAAATCATGATAATCACCCTATAAGGACTCACGGTCATACCAATGTATAGATACTCGTCACCATGCCTATACATCATACTCGATCAATTAGCAAATAGCAAACAAGACTCAACTCCTATTCACTCAAGCTAGGGTTAAACCAAACACTTACCTCAACTCCACAGCCAATTAAATCCTCAACAACCGCTTTCCCTCTCGAATTCGGCTCCAACTCTACCAAATCTACGCAATAATGACTTCACGTTATCAATATGTGCTAAACAAATCGAACCCAATGTCTAATTATAGCTTTTGCATCCATTTACCCCAAAGGTCAAAAATTCCCCCGGGCCCACATGGTCAAAACCCGAGGTTCGAACCGAAACCCGATTACCCATTCCCTCATGAACTCAGATATATAATTTATTTTGGAATCGGACCTCGAATTGAGGTCCAAAACCCCCAATTTTAGAAAACCTAGGTTCTACCCAGAATTCCTAAATTTCCCCATTAAAATCTTTGTTTTGAAGTTGAAATTATGTTTAAAGATGTTAAGGAGTAAAGAAAATGAGTTAGAAATCACTTACCAATCGTTTTGGAGAAGAAGAATCGTTTGGAAAATCGCCTCTTATGTCTTGGGTTTTGAAAAGGTGAAAAATGACTGAAATTCCCGACCTTATATACCCTCTGAAGACCCAGTGCGGACCGCGCAAAAATGGACCGCGGCCGCGCTGAAGAACTGTACAAATACCACTCTCTGAACTCTCCAGCGCGGACCGCACAAAGGGGAACGCGGCCGCGCTGGTAGACCTGGGAAATGCTGGCTCTCTGAAGTTAGCTACGCGGACCGCGCATGGACGACCGCGGCCGCGCAGCTTCCACCGCGGACCGCACTAAGGCGACCGCGTCCGCGCAGCACGCACCGCGGACCGCGCTAAGGCGACCGCGGGCGCGCTGGAGCCTGCAACTCCCTGAACCTGCAACATCTGCTATTTCTAAGTCTAAGACCTCCCGGGGCCTACTCAAAACTCACCCGAGCCCTCGGGGCTCCAAACCGAACATACACATAACTCCAAAAACACCCTACGGACTTACCTGTGCGATCAAATCGCCAAAATACATCAAAACAACGGATCAAGCCTCAAAACTCATGAATTCTTCCCAATTTTCATAAAACATCAATTTTTCTTCCATTTTAAGTCCGAAACACGTCAAACGACGTCCGATTTCAACCAAACTTTACAGAAAGCGTTTAAACCATATATAAGACTTGTACCGGGCGCCGGAACCAAAAATACGGGCCCGATACCACAGTCTTTTGATCAAATTTCATTTCCAGTTCCCTTAATAAATTTCAGAAAAGCAATTTCACAGAAAAATTTCTTTCTCGGGCTCTAGACCTCGGAATTCGACTCCGAACATATGCCCGAGTCTCATATTTTTCTACGGGCCCTCCGGGATCGTCCAATCACGGGTCCGGGTCCGTTTGCCCAAAATGTTGACCAAAGTCAACTTTAATCATATTAATATCAAAATTCATCAATTTTCACATAGAATTCATATTTAAGCTTTCCGGCTACACGTCCGGACTGCACGCGCAAATCGAGGTGACTAAAATGAGGTTTTCAAGGCCTCGGAAGTGCGAAAATGAATGAGAAAAACAGGTGATGACCCCTTCGGGTCGTCACAGCAGTGGATGCCATTTGGAGAGTATGCCGCTCAGCCTTGTATTCAGAAATTAGATTGTCTATTCAAGTACATCAAAGATCTATGCTTAGCAAAGGCAGAAGGAGATTACAAAGGATTCACTCCTTTGCCAATAACATCATCAGTTTTTGATGATCATATGACTTTCCTCTATTTCAGTAAGGATGGTCTCGACCTAGGAAGTTCTGCAATTTAATTAATTTACCACTGGGGGATAACAATAATTAGTGCTACATGAATTCTTCTGTAGTTCTATTCAACTAATTCGCTAATTATTCTTTGAGGTAATTGTTTCAATTGCCTCTTCTATGCAATAAACTGTATTTAAATCTATTTTTTATAGTAAGCATCTTTATTCTCTAGAATATCCAATAAATTAAACGTACTATGAAGAATGTATTCTTTCAATTTACTTGCTTTATCTTTTAGCCACCTTCATTTCGTATAGGAGTCTCACCGAATTTACGCTTGCAAGACACTTGTTCTAGTGTACTTACTCACTACTAGCTAGAAAGTGCTTGATTTTCGACATATATTTTCGAACTCCATAGGCCTTCTGTAAAAATTTGCCACCACTCGGTGTTTATACTAATTCAATAAATATATGATATATATCTTTACATACACTTCTTTTGCTAAATCATATTTAAAAAGTACATAATTTCGTCTAAATTCATGACTTAACCATGATAATTTAGTACTCCCTCCGTTTCAATTTAGATGAGGTAGTTTGACTTGGCACGGAGTTTAAGAAAAAGAAGAAGACTTTTAAAACGCGTGGTGTTAAAAGCTTAAAAAATTTGTGGGGCCATGACATTTGTGTGGTTATAAAGCTTCTCGTAAAATGGGTAAATGAAGAGATTAAAGTTGAATTATTTCCAAATTTAAAAATGTGACATTTATTTTGAAACGGACTAAAAAGAAAAGTACCTCATCTAATTTGAAACGAAGGGATATGATGTAATATAAACACTAGATGCGAATAAATTTTAACGAGACATTCAATCTCAATTAAAGGGGCTGACATGAATGCTTGATTGTGACTCAATCTTATTACGCGTAGAGAATAATCCCACATGGTGCACGATAGAGATAAATTCCTGTATACGCTAGATTATTATCAACGATTTGGAACATAACTAATTAGCTTTAAGGAAAAACCTTTAACATGCATCGTTTGCCTCTTTTCATAAGGCAAGATTGAAGATAATGTTATGTCGAGAAAGAGGCAAATCCGAAAATAAAAAAGATAAAGAACATCAAATTTTAACGTAGAAAATCCTTCAAATCAAAGGTAAAAACTACGGGATCACAAAGATCCAAAAAACTCCACTATAACAATAAGAGGGTTACAAAAGTTCTCCAAATTGGCTACACAACAAGTGCCAAACACAGAGCAACAATAGCAATGAAAGCAACAACTAATTACACTACTAAAAATCAGGCGATTTCCGTCCAAGGCTTTCCGACCGAAATCGGTCGGAAATAACAGTATTTGGAGCAAAAAAAAAATCCCACCGAATTC